GAGCAGCAGAACAATGGAGAGGCGAAGAAAAAAGTAAAGGAACATCAGCACGAATCAAGAGAGCAGAAGAATTATAAGCCCCAGCAACTGGGGGGGGGGGGGGGGAGAGAGAAAGGAATAGCCACGAAAACGACCAGGACGAGCACCAAGCATCGGCTCCTGGAGACAGACACAAAGGGGCGAAAACCGCGAAATCAGAAGTTGGAGTTCGAGGAAATTGGCGTAATAACCTCGAACGTTCCATTGAAGAATAGACATCGACGAGAAGAGAAAGGACAACAACAGAGAACAAGGAAGAAACAAAGGCGAAAGAGCAACAGAGCACGTTAAAGAATATCAGGGTCGGGATCAGGGTCAGCAAAGTCAGGGTTAGGGGGCATGGGTAAACTGAGCAAAGACGGAGGGAAGGAGGCAGGAGAACAGACCAGAGGTGGGCGGGCAGGGTCCAGAGGAGGAGGAGGAGACAACGGAGGGGAGCAGTCAAGGACAGCAGGAGGAAGAAAGGGGGGGTAGAAAGAGGGGAGCGCACCTCAGCAAGGGCAGCAACCTAGAGGGAAGCGGGGGCTAAAAAAACCTCCATAGCAGGAACAGGGGGCGCAACCACCGAAATGGGAGGGGAAGGAGCGAGAGAGGCAGAAGTAGGGGCCGAGGAAGAAAGCGAAGCCTTCTTACCCGTCGGGGAGGAGGAAGGAGAGGAGCCAGGCTTACGCTTCTGACTTAAGGAGACAGGTGTCCCAGCAACCACGTACTGGGCAATGGATTCTAGCGTCTCAACAGAAGCTGAAAGAGCACACATGACGGCCGTTTGGAGAGCGAGGGACATCAGCCCGTACCGACAGGTGGCAGGGAGAGTCAAGAGACGGAGGGGAAGGATGGGAAGGAGGAACGGAGGGAGACGAGGAAGAAGACACAGGAGACAAGACAGACCGGGTAGAAAGAAGGGGAACCCCAGACAGAGGACCAGGAGGTGGATCCTTCGGGAGAGAACCCAAAGGAACACAGGAGGGGGCAGTAGGCGTATCAGGGTCCAGGGCCCGGAAACGGTTGCGAGTCTGAGGAAGGTGGGAAGGACGAGGAGGGAAAGAGCGCAACAAGCGAGCATAAGAGATATTAGCATAAGGCGGGAGCCGGCAAACCTGGCGTCTCGCCTCAGGAAAATATAAACGCTCCCGGTGCTTCAAGTTGAGGACGGCTGCCTCAAGCTTTTAATGGACACACGCACGGGAGAAGGTAGGATGGGCCTCACCGCAGTCGAGGCAACGAGCCTGGGGAGAAGTGCACTCCGACTTAGAGTGACCTTCGCCACCATACAAAGGACAGACAGTCCCGGAGCAGCGGAGGGCACCATGCCCAAACCTCCAGCACTTGTTGCAGAGCCGAGGAGAAGGAATGTACTCCTGGACAGAGCACCTGGCACCAGCAAGAATGACAGAGGGTGGAAGGGTCCTACCATCAAAGGTAATCTTCACAACCCGGAGGGGTTGACGGCGACTACCACGAGGGGGACGAGTAAACGTGTCCACCTGGAGAATAGAATGGCCCTGGGCAGCGAGGATATGTCGAATATCGTCGTGGCAGTCGCGCAGGTCCCGAACACCGGTCGCAACATGGGGCGGGAGCAGATTAGTGCCAACACTGGCATTCAACTGAGCGTTCTTCGAGACCCGAACAGGGATCTCGCCAAGGCAGGATAAGGCAGCCAAGCGGGAAGCAGCATCCTGAGAAGGAGCAGCAACGACACATGTACCGAGACGAGTGGGGGTTGAAAGTAACAGGCATCCACGGAATCAACAAGATGTCTATGGAGGGAGAAATTGTCAGGAGGCGCAGAATCATGAGGGAGGAGATCAAAATATTTGGCCCACGAAGCGGGACCAAACAAGGCTTGATAGGTAGCAGAACTGGAAGGAGTCGAGCGAGGACGGCGGTGAGAACCCCTAGAGAGGGGGGGTTAAAAGGCGCAGTAGTTACAACTAGAGATGGAGCCGCGCCAGGGGACGAGGTAGTCACCACTGGGGGCTTGGGGCACGACCCAACCACCGAGGAGGGAGGGGAGCCAGGGGAAGGAGTCTCAGGCCAAAGGAGGAGCAAGGTCGGGGCCCAATGCAGTGGAGGCTACAGAGCCCAGTCTTCCAACACGGACCAACTCGGGGGGCTTGGTCGCCGACCCCACGAGCCTGAAAATGTAAAGCAGAAACTGTCGAAACAGGGGTTATCAATACGAAAAGGAATATTCATTCACGAATGTGCCCCCACACCCACCATGGAGCCACAATTAGAGGCAGGACACCCAACAAGAAGCTATCGCCGATCATGCCGGGGCCTCCTAGGGGTGCGTCGTGAGTATACGCCCCACAAACGCCACCTTAAGAACCGACAGTCCGTCGAGATCGGGTTCAGTGACGAAAGGGAGATTGACAAAAGGTTCCCCTCGCTCTCGACGTCGGGTACTACAGTTCTACGGGTGCAAGAGTATGCCTCCTCAAGCACCCGGGCGTCAAAATAGAAGAAGTCCAAGGGAAGAACCAGAACAAAAGGTCGGCAGGAAACGGCAAGCAGATAGGAGAAGAGGGGGAGAAAAACGAAACGGAAGGAAAAGGAAAAGATGCTCAGCATAATTGGAGAGGACGGCAGCAGGAGCACAAGGCTAGAAAAGGACAGAGGACTGTCCCAAGGAGCATCACACACTGGCAGCCGCCCACTAAGCCCCCACACGGCAACAACGAGCTGAGCGGGGAGGAAGGGGGGGGGGGTGCACAAGGGAACTAGTCCCCGACACCATATGTAACAATTATCAAAAGGCACCAAACCGGGAAGGCTATGAAGCACCATCAAAGTGCAAAATAATCAGAGGGCGCTAAATATCACCAAGAATGCCAATACGAGAACAAAAACGCTTAAGGCAAACTATATCAAAAGTACCCGATTCACCTAGAATTCTATCGAGGGACAAGTGACCGCGAGGGACGGTCGGAAAGCAAGACACGCTCGTCCTGGAAGTCAGGACATTCAAGACCGTAAGAGGGACAATGCAACTAGGACAATAAGGAGCAGGGTGGCGCTCCATTAAGTGACCGTGGGTTAAGCGAGTATGGCCAACCCGCAGCCGTGCCAAAGCAGTTTCCCCACCACCGGTTACGGTGGTAGGAGGAAGGCCACGGGGACACTACGTTTGAGAGTACGCAGCTTGTTACTAACCACAGAGGACCAACAGCCCTGCTAACGGGGCAAGAATGGAGGAATGAATAACAGGATAAAAGTCGGAATAAGGTATACCTTTATGGGAGATGGGACAAGAACGGATAGCTTCCTTAGCAGCAGCATCCGCACACTTTGAAAGAAACACCAATATGGCTGGGAACCCAGCAAAACAGATTTAAATTTACTAGAAATAAGAAACTGCCAATGTTGAATCTATGACCACCGGATGGACAGGATTAAAGGACCCTAGTGCCATGAGGGCACTACGAGAGTCAACTACGACCACAAAAGACGAATGACATTGAGAAAGCAAGAGCATAGAGAACAGAAAGTTCTGCTGTGAAGACGCTAGCCTCCAAAGGGAGGCGACAAGTGCGGTCAGGAAAAACAACAGAGTAGCCCACACCGTCCGCAGACTTGGACCCATCGGTGAAGATGGAAAGAGTGGGAGTGCGAAGAAAAGTGAGTGCTCAAGTTAAAGGCGTTTCAGAATCGTAGGAAGGGTAAAGGCTTTAGTGATACGAGTCAAGGACGTACAAAACTGGAAAGGGGGGGGGGGTGACTCCACGGAGGCAAGGAAGGAACAATACGAGAAACATTAGAAATATAAACAAAGAATCCTGTAAGCGAGATAACCAAACAGAAAGAGGGAGACTATGAAGAGGAACGAGCTATAGGAGGGTTAAAAGCTAAAGCACGACAGGCGAGAGGAAGGATGTTTAAGGACCGCGCAAAATAGCGAAGACTGTAGGGAAAAGAAAAGAAAAAGAAAAGAAAAAAAAAAAAAAAAAACGAGCGAGAGAGCGAGCGAGAGAGGGGGGGGGGGGAAGCCAGTGTCAACATACAAACCGAGGGCGGGAGACTAACAAAAGGCACCAGAGCCGAGACGCAACCCAGCATGGTGCAAAGCATCAAGACGAAGAGTAGGAGGAGTAACAAGAGTAAGCAGGGCAACTATAATCGAGTTTAGACAGGAGACGCCATATAAAGAAATTATCAATTGGCGGCACCAAGCCAGGGAGACTATGCAGTACTGATACCATATTCAAAATGGTAGCAGACACCATCGACAGACTTCGACAAGGCATGAATAGCCCTTAATTGTGACAGTAGCTGTTATAGCTGTCTATACTTAAAGTCTTTCACCATACTCAGAGGGACAGCACCGGCGCAAACCTGCGAAAAACGGTAACTTTACTCATTCCCGACCAACCCCTCGTCCGCAATACCTATGGGAGATGGACAGGGGATGTGAAATTTACCCATAATCTTGTCTTTCGATAAGTAGAAGATGGGCGTCTACAATAAGACATGAATAACCTAAAACACTCATCCACACGTGGCTATACATACCATTGCACTTTACTTCCTAGAGAAGGCTTTGAGCGTTTAAGTTTCTTCAAGGCTGAACGTTCATCTTACAGCGTTGTTTCCCAAATGTCAACAAGTAACGTACTTCCGCCTAACCTGGGGTTGGGGGGGGGCGCCTTTCAACTTTCGAACCATTATTAAATATTAATTTACTTAGCATGGATACCATTCTGCCGGCTGGAAGCAAAACGGCCTTTACTAATCAAAGCTCACGGACACCAGCTCTACCAAGAACCATATTCTCTACATCGATGTTAAATGCAATGGAAGTTACTCGTCAAGATCAAGTATGGTTGTAATTAGACATTAAGCAACGCCACATCTAGAAACTGCAGCCATCTTGCAAACTAATCTTGTAATTTTAGCTAGACGCCATGTACATTGACGTGACAGCTCGACACATCTTTAGTTGAAGGTTAAGAAAAAGGTTTAACATTGTACCTTTATTTACTGTTATAGGTGGTTACAAGGCATCCTCTTTCCAGCGAGTTTGGTTAAGAGTTCATGCTAGACATTATGCGTGTTCTGGTACTTTATTATAAAATTGGATGCCACGGAACCACTGACCTAGAGCAACTTCTAGAGGGAACTAGAAGTTGCTCTAGAAGGGGAGAGTTTTTAAAGAGAAGGCCTGCAAGATCTAGGCCTTTACAATTCCCGCATTATGGGTGCAGGTGGCACTACTGTGGAACCATAGCGAGGGTGTTGTCCATGTCCTCGAACTGATCTATTGCGTCCAGGAGAAGGTTGTGGATGGCCGCCGCCTGCTCCGTCACCACCGCCCTCACGTCCCTCCGACGTCTCGACCCACTACCACCAACCTGTAGGCACATTAAACTTAGCCACCAACAGTAACTAACTAGTAGACCAAACCGCCCTCACCCTCCCTCCTATTACAAAATATTTGACATAAGCAAGTCTTGCAAATAGCATTGCAAGTTATCTTAGCTTAAAATATTTAGGCACTAAATTTCTGCGGCGGACGACAAACCCGCTGGCGGCAAATACAATAAATACTATGCCAAAATTTTACTTACCGGTATTACTATGAAAAACGTAAACCTGGTTGAACCATGCAGCCCTTCAGTGAAGGCGAATATTATGTTTAACATGTCTTTAATAGTCATTAGTGACAAGGTTCCTCACAGACTATTGAGGTATTCAGTGTCAGGGAGAGGAAGGTCTAGAGTTACCGAGATCCCCGCCAGCCAACTACCGACCATCTCCAGGACGCAACAATCTAGGCACTGTGGATGTGGCAGAGACCGAGGGAAAATGTCTACCGTTACAATTTAACTACAGAACTAATGTGCATTATGGTTTCTCAATCTACTGAAGTAGACAGCTTTTGCTTAATATGTCTAGATCACAACAACAGTTAAACTAGGCCGAATCTCAAGCTCTTAATTCCTTTATGCTACTCAGTAAATGCAAGTTATACCCTAAGGTCGAAAGGTGGTAGATTGTTAATTAGCCGAGCACCAAGAGACGCCGGGACGATGACAATTCATTGCCCTCGACATTACCATCTTCCATCTAATAAACCTACTATTAAGAAGGTTCACCCATCCTCCTCCCCTTCAGAGTTTTGATCTGCTAATACGAATGGTGCATTCTTCCTTACAGTGCTCTACAGAAATAGATTACAACCAAGTACTTAACCGGAGACTATCCCAGTCAGAAAACGGACATTAATTGCATGTTAATTGCCTTACATTTCTTTAACCAGTTTCAATAAGTTAAAAAGTAGCCCTTTATGTAGGCGCCAGTGTACCACAGGATACAAACTGACATTTAATATGAGTATTAAAAGTCAAACAAGAGATTGTCTAGCATGACAACTTGCACCATGATTACAAACTTACAACTAGCAAAACTTGAAAATGTTTAGTCGCTGAAAACCTTTCCCGACATCCGCCTAAAGCGAGGAAGCGACATGGGAGGAATTTAGTTTAAACCAGCCCTGGACAAGATTGGTTCAGAACAGTGTTGCCTCAATTGCTTTACTACCGACAGATGCCATGGAAGGCTACCAAACAGCAAAGGTTTAAAGAGACAGTTATTGCCCACTCGGTGCGTGTTTAAGTTTTTACGGGAAAAAAGGGGGAGATGGCTCTAATTCCCTAACATAACCCTGTGTTTTATGGCCAAAGAAAAATCCTATCACTGACAAGCTGTGCACCCAGAGTGCTGCACCCACTAGTACTTTTCAGCCTAACTAGAAGGATAAACCATCAATCTTTGAAGACAACCATTTCATACGAGTATATAATAGAACACCAAACTTTCAATCAAATAATCAAGTGGTTCAATGGGCTACCGAAAATATTAAAAGTTCTACCTACTCCGCTATGGAAAATAAAAAACTGACCACACCATTCCAAGGAAAAGGCAATACAAAATATGAGAGCCATTTGAAGGCTTTTCTAAAATAGTTGTCAACTGCAAGAAAAATGTGGTTTGACAAGAACATTTAAACGGACGCTATACCAATGGCTACTTGGTGAACGAGTGCTTTAGTGGCATCTAGTTGCACACCAGCCTCATTCAAAGCGAGAAATTTCAGACAGAACTTTCATAAATATTTTACTGCTCTAATATTAGAGCTCTAAATTAAGACCGTATTTATGAAGGTATAAGAATTTAAATAGGCTTTAGAGCGCAGGCAAGAGATTGACAACTTTGAAAATATTTGAGAAACTTTCCCCAATCTAAACATAGAACTCTACATTAGATCAGGAGGCACGAGTGGCTGTGCACAAGCTACTAATTTATTCTAATCCAATATAGGACAAGATTAGGGACGAGCGGAGACATGGGTATAGCTGAATAGCCGGCGAGATGAAACATCAAAGTCGTAGAGATGGTGCTCGACCCAGCTGCACCACGTTACTGTGGCCGTCAACACCGGGCCGCTGGAAAGCTAGCCCGTCCTCAAAGCCAAAGTCCATTCCATGCACCCGCGAAACCTTTTTTTTTATGAAGGAAAAACTTTCCGCCACTACCGATTACTTTCGAACACTTTCCTAACTGGTGCTTCGCAGACTTGTTCGAACCACAACACTAAATGCTTCACCCACGTACTACAAATTCAAATAATTGCCAACAGAACGTAACCGATTCTTAACTATATAGCATGCCAATATAAAACTTTGAAAATGCCTACTGTCAATGCACAGCATTGAAAATTTATGAATGCGTCTTTGGGGTAGACCGCTGGATGAAATGGACTTCTGTCCAAGGAGAGGTTGGAGAAGCAGATGCAACATGCAAGCCGAGAGAGACCTAGCAAATATTAATTTAAGTGACCAAAACTTTTCAACGCCGTCTGTAAACGAGGGGAACAAGTGTCCGACCTCTCCCGCTGTTCCACAGAACTTTCCAAACGCCTAAATGATACTGTATCAGCGATTCTTAAGTCAGGATGAATACAGCGGCATCTAACATCGTCACGCTGCCAACCGGGAAGGATGGCTGGAGACCGGGCCATGGGGAATTTGATCCCCGTAACCAAGAGGTATGTAGCCCTTTTGATCAATGCATGGATACGCCATCAACGTTAAGATAGAAAAGCTTAAGTCAAATCCGCCTCCACTAAGCCAGTACAAAATGGGCCGAGGTTTAGAGATGTTAAAAGATTTGTGTTAATGAGGAACTATTAAAAACTAGTCATTTTCCACATACTATTCAGTTTATACCCTACTCCTGGTGAGGATATCACCCAGGACACTTCCAGCGTTATCTATTAGTTTAATAATGAATTGTCACCGAGCGGCTGCAGGTCTGACATTTAGTCCAAGAATATCAACCTTTATCTTGGCGAATTAAAATTTTAGTTTAAATTTAAAGTGGATGGCATAACATTGCTTCCACCTGAAGTTAATCGTGTCATACATGAAAGTACACAACTTTTCATTGTAATAAGACTATAGATTTAATATGGCAAATAAGTTATATCTGCAAAATTGTTATAATGCACAGTAGGTGGCAAATTTGCAGTAATTTAACCTATTTCTTCCCAACCTAAAGTTCACTTGTGGCCTGGAAACAAACCAAATGCTACTTGGCACTTTTCAACGTAGTCTTAACCACCCCCTACCCAAACTTCCTCCCCAGTTCAGTGTACCGATGCTCTAGTAAAATTCTCCGTCTAATAAAACTAGTATGTATTCAAATTCTGCTTGAGAGCCTGGGACTTCATGCGAGGAGGCCGAGGTGTCCAATAGCAAGAGCAAAATTGGACGAACTAAAGTGACAACGAAACTACACTTCAAATATCCAATTTATTCTTTTAAATAATGACTTGTCAATATACAAGAGTTTCAGAAACTAGCAAATTTGAACACAAAGGCCTTTTAAAGTGTTGCAGCCGTCAGACTAATACCAGCCTTAGTGCTGCATTAGTAAGAATGAAAACTTAAAATTGAGTTATTTTGGCCTTACCAATTACTATAAGTTTTTAATTTTTAAAAAAGGGCTATAGCTATTCTTTCCTCTTTACTAGCAATCAAAGTTTAATAACCTGAAACCAGATAACCGGAAGAGTAATTTAGATCCTTTTATTGGCCTGCATGAACACTTGCCCCGTCAAACTGCAGTCTATGTAGTAGAATGTTTAACAATCTTGGCCCATCAAACTGTCAACCATTAAACTAGGATCTGTTTAGAGTGCATACGACAAACTACCAGATACCTTTCTCAGTGAAAGATAAAACGCACGGCATGACTGCTTCGAGTTACCGACGCCACGATTGTCATACTTTATGTATCTGGCCATTATGTATGGTGATCTAGATCACATTAAGGATATCAACACGCCTCCAGCCAGTCTCAAAAAACACGAAGAAGACATCAAATCTTTTTTAGTTCAAGATGCATTGCTTTGCAAGGACTAGTTAGGTCTAGTTGTGCAACACTAGACGGACGGAAAACTTCCCAGCAAGTAGCTTTAAGGAAAGGCTAGACACCGTAGTTACACAGTCGAGTGCAATTTATTTATAATATTGCATGTACAAGGAGAATTTAAGCCATTCAGAACCCAGCCATTATTAGCTATAATTGTTGGCTTTAAGATTACCGCCCAAGATTTAAATTTAGAGTATTTAACATTAATACCGACCAATTAACTTTATTCTGTACAGTAATTTAATACTTTAGTAATCTACCACTTAAATCCCAGCGACTAAGCTAGGCTGCAGTAGTGAAGACTAACCTAGTTACAGCCCCGCTCCTGTGCCAGACAAGTCCACAACGGGCTCACCATAGCCCGTGCTACTTTGAACTTTGTTCCCAGTAGCCGAATCTTAAGAACAGCAACAAGACTAGCCACTAATGTGGTACACCGGTGGGGAGCGCCTCCCACCCCTGTGACAGCCCTTACTCTCCACCCCCGGGACACTTACGTGTTTGTTGATGAAGGAGACGATAGGGTCCATCACTTGCGGAAAGACCAACATTAACGTAAGGAGCGTCGACTCTACCACGGCAAGCGTTACCTGCAAGTTGTGTTTAGATTTACTAACATTATCATAATTGTCAGATTTATGTCCATTGTACTAGGCATCAACATGGTGCAAAGCAAGCATCGTAGCGAGCTTCTAGTAGCCACATCAGCGCAGTTAGCAAGTCCCGCTACATCTGTACAACCTTTTACCACTACAAGCTGTGTCGACACTGGCAGATTGATAAGGCCGCGAGGGCAGCCATCTCTTACTGCGGCTCTACCAGAAGCAGAGCCTCTAGCCTCGCTCTGGCGTCTGTACCGCCAGCAGCACTAGGCCCCCCCCCCACCCCCCTTTGCTACTCCGTCACTAGACGCTACATGCCTATCATAATCATAAGAAATTTATACCTTTTATCTTGCCTACATCAGTTTTACAAGATGGGTCAAATTTAGAACATAAGCTAACTAACTTCTGGCACTAATTAACCCTCGCCACCAAAGTAGAAACACTTCCTAGTTATGTCGCCACATCTTATTTGTCAGGAATATACTCTATAGAACCTTGCACATAATTATATTCAATATTCGTGATTATAGACTAACTTCACCTCTGCCGCCGGCCAGTTTTAAAACTTGACCTAGTAACACGAGACGTGGGCCCCCCCCCCCGACTGTACTCTGCAAACTTACTGCAAGGAATGTTAAGGAAAACCAACAAAAATTGGCGGCCGAGAGCTTTGCAAACCTTGGTTCGAGAATGTTAGTCTAGATTTTTCATAAAGAATGGTAAACTAACACTACCAAATGTTATAACTAAACTGCAAATTTTTTGCCAGATCAACAAAATAGGGCGACGACTTGCTTGCGTGATGCGGCCCGGACTCCACACTCTGGTCTCTGGTTTAGTGGTATTTGTGTTATCTTCCGCCGCCGTCGTCGTCAGCAGCCACCACGTCGAGGCGAACAACGTCACGTACAACCTGCTGGAGTGAACACAGGTTAAACTAGTACATGAACTAGTTTAGGATTTTAAACGAAACCTAGCATTTCAAATTATTAGTCACCTTCCCCCCAACACTGTAACGGCAAAAAATGCTGTGGTGCAGCAAACACTTCCCAAATTTTACATCAAGTTCACTACAAACTTTTCTGCAAATTTAGTGTCACCATTGCAGGACGGCCTCGGGGTTTCCCCACCTCCCCCCAGCTACATACTTGCCATTATGAACACGTGCTGCAGCAACCCCCTAACCCAATAATAGTACAAGCATTAAAGACTGTCTCGCCTGGCTCACCTTCCACAACCAATAACATCACACCACCACTGTACCCAACAATACTCCCACTAACATTCAGCTCGGCTGCCTCCGTGATGTGTAGTGAAGTGGTCCGTTTTACATTTTACAGGGAGCCGAGCGGACAACACGCTGGACTTGTGATCCAGTGGTCCCGGGTTCGATCCCGGGCGCCGGCGAGAAACAATGGGCATAGTTTTTCATCCTATGCCCCTGTTGCCTAACAGTAAATAGGTACCTGGATGTTAGTCAGTTGTCAGGGGCTGCTTCCTGGGGGTGGAGGCCTGGTCGAGGACCGGGCCGTGGGGACACTAAAGCCCCGAAATCATCTAAGATAACCTCAAGATAAGAGACCAAGCGAGCCTTTCCCCCCCCCCCCCCCACTTAAGTTTCCTATAATCCCAATGACTTTGGGTCCCTCTGCTGCGCGCGCACTATAACCTGCTATAGCCGTGTGCATCTCTAGTCAAACTAGAGCGCTATTATGAACTTTTAATTAAACACACAAGTTATAGATCTGTCAAGCTGTGTGACTAAGAACTACCCCAAGCCTCGATGAACAACGCTGGAGTGTTCACAGTTGGGGGACCACAAAAAGTCTATATTAAAGACTCATACCTTAGCTAACAATATGGGCACTAAACCTTGTATACTAGCACTTAACACCTGTATGCCAGCACTTCACTATGGCTGCAGGTAATCTAGTCATTGCCCAATGAAGTGTATAAACAACGATGTGGATTAGGGAGGCATAAGAGGCCTGATTTGGTTTAACCATCTGATAAAGTTAACTATTCAAAGTACACCTTACTAAAAGTTTAAGGCTAGAGCTTTCAAAAAAATTTAAGTGTTCTGAAAACAGGTAGCCATCTTCCCGATTGAAGTCATACCAAGTAAACTGGTTTAGTGGTTGTACTAGAGATCAGCAAAACGTGAAGAGTAACCAACTAAACCCAAGTGAAAAGCTGCAAGTTAATTTAGAAGGGTAATTAACCCTTCTAAGTTGTTGCCTTCGAGGCGACTACCTGGCCAAGTCGAGACATTCAGAATACATCAGTTTAAGACTGGCTAATCAGTTTACCTGTAGACTGAGAGTTTAAAGTACACTTGACACTAAACTGGTGAAGTCGTTTAAGCAGGAGCCAACTACAATAGTTAGATGGCTGATTAACACCCGCTTTAAATCCAGCAGCTACACCACTGCTATCAATCTTTGGTACAGGTCGCAAATGGAATTAGATCCCACTACCGCCGTTCTCCCTACAAATAGGAACCATTGCATCGGCACGCACCAAAGATACACTGATGTACATCCGCTTTCCATTTATGCAAGCTGCTAAAGTTTCCTCTAAAGCCTAGCACCAAGAGTCCCTTGGGTGTAACACCCGACCCCCTCCAGGCGACTGGATCTAAGGTTTTCCTCAAGCCACAATTAAGGCGAAGCTGCATTAACTCTTACTATAATTTTCTTTGAGCCTAATAAGCCGGATTTTACTATACATTCTAATTTGTTCAATTACTGCTGCATAGGGACGTGATAAAGCCCATTATGGTAGTTTCTTCATTTTAGACCTGGCGCAGTCCTCCCTGGAGCCCTTTTGGCAGCTACCACAATGATCCATTAGGCTATCACTATAGCAACTTCGTAGTTGCACTTCTCCGCACCATTTCACCGTGTTTCGTCTTTAGGAAAGCGTTATGTACGTGATGGTACGATTAATCTGAATCTAGCAATTTTAGGTACTCTAGCTAAATTCTTTGAGTCTAGAAAGATTTAAATTTAGTTTCAGGTAACAAGTTGGGCTTAGATTAAGGTTTATAGAAAAAAGGAATTTGCTATACTTTAATATAGCAACACTAGCTCAGCTAATCATTTTAAGCAAGATTAAATTTGTATTTAATACACAGCGTATATGGAATGTTTCAAAACTTCGTTTCTTTCAGCAGCTTAAGCTGGATTCTTAATTTTTCTTTAATGCATTAATAATGATTCACTTTCGTAATACTTAAAATATTAACAAAAATATCACTTGGGAATCTTAAACATCCGAATCTAGAAATTTGTATTTCTTAATTTGTACCATATTATGCCCTTTGTGCCACTGACAATTTTCAAGTATATAGCATCCTAACTTGGCCAACCGCCGACTTCCAGCCTAGCCACAATACCACCCAACTCTTCTTCCATGTTGCAGATGTTTATACAGAGAAGTGTCGAGTATAGAACGATTAACTTTCACCGTTTTAAATGTTGGCGAGGCGCCCCGACTAAACTCAGTAAGTGCCAGTACAAGTGCACGAGTTCAGCATCCAGCAAGACCACGAGAACTAAGGAAAACTACTTTGTCTATTTAGCAATATAAGGCAGTCTAATGCGATTCATTACCACCGAGGTATCTTAAGTGATAAGTTATTTACTCCAGATCAATTGGCACAAACTACCAAAATGGGAAACCTAGGCTAGACAACTACGGTAAGGTAGAAAAATGTTTACCAAACCAACATTGTCACTGGGTCACTACATGGACCTTTTCCCCCCCAGATCCTGAAAACTAAAGTGGACTGGGTCGCCACCCATCCCCTGGTTATAGTGTATCCAGCGGCCGACCCCAAGGACTTAATTTTGTAACATGCTGTTCAGTCAAAAATATAAATTAAATATCCGCAGTGTTCATAATCATTGGTTAGGTCCTTAGGTTCTGTTAATCGTTTGTATTACGTAACAATCAAATCTTCGTGTAGGGGCAGGCAGCCAGTATATATACGCATACGTTACCTTATAGTGAGGTCCCCCTCCCCCCAAAGTACCAACCGTCCCCAATTTTCAACTAACGAGGAACTATTAATGTACCACTAAGTTATAGGTAAATTGGAATCCCCGCCCAGGGTGCCAAACAGGAATTACCTTCAATTGTCCACCTAAAGTATTTGGCGTATTTAGGAGGTAGTGAATCACTGAATAAATTTGAAAGTCACCAGTTTAGTTTCGCAAAGCGTTCTGCATTCGTTAACAACCGATTTGGCGGCTTTACGAAGTAAACATTGATTGGTTTGTCTAGGACTGCCTGGTGGGCAGACAGGGCTAGTTAACTAGGGATTCAAACGGTTCTGAAGTTCCGTATAACTATACAATTCAATGCTCAGGAGGAATGGCAACAAATTATATTACACAAATGCAGCAGTAGTCGCCTGCAACAAAATTTAACCATTTTCAAAGCTGAAAACTACAGTGAAGTGTTTAGGCGGCATTTACGTAGCCCATAGCAAGAACTTTCCTTTGATAGTGCGATCTAGAAAAATTCTAGTAGACTTTAGATTTAATGATACTTTAAGAATTACGAGTATTGAAGCAAACTATTTAATGGGACTAAACAAGCCATCTAAAGCGTGTCAAGGTTGAAGAAATCTATGTACCAAAACGTGAGTTACCGTAACATTCAGCCCGAATAACCAAAGTAATTTTTAAGATCCAGCACAAAAAACTCGCCGTTTAAGAAAAGCATTTCGAGCAGTTTTAATTATATTCATGTTAACAAAATTACACTAAAAACCACTACAGTCATTTGCCAGGGTAGCAAGGTGCATTGCTACATCAACACGTGGACCCCGAAGTCCAGTGAATCATAATTAAGTTTAAGGTTGGACAGATCTACTTTAAAGCAGCAGCAACAACGTTGTTACGTCACCCACCAAGTCTCAGAGGGATGGACGGGGAGGCGGCCCCAAAACGCTACAATAAACTTTCTACATTAACGTTTAGGGCTGGCCCCAGAGGTCAAAGATAGTTATTTATAGCGATATCTTGTAGAATACGCCACACCGGCCGAACATTATAATTTGTAGTGTAGTTCAAATTTTTCCTATTTACGGCTACACAGGTACGTAATTAAGCTGTTGGCCGCTTTAACACCCGAAATAGCAACGCGTTATCGTTTAGTCCTTAAATCAAGAGATGGAGAAACTGCCTCCTCTGTAGGTAGTTTATATGCCTATAAAAGAGGAATAACAAAAATTTACCCGTGAAACTATGGATCCGCAGGGAACCTTGCAGACAAAATTTACTAAATAAAACCATTAGTCCACAGCTCAAGTCACGTCCTAGTATTTTGGAATGTTACGGAAGTATTAGCCGATTTCCACAAACGTTTAAGCGTAGGCTTCGCCCTTGGACGCCAGTCGTTCATTCTATCCTTCAGATACTCTTATGATTAATGTACATGTCATATTGGCATAAAAAAAAAATGCCAAGTCTTCTAAATTAGCAAATTCTACTCCCGAGAAGGCAAACAAAGTTAATGTTATGGTATGTATTAAGTACAAGATCCCGTAGGGCAAGTCTTTGACAGGTTAGGCTAATGTTTAGTTAAAGTTCTGTACTAATCGAGTCCTGAAGTGCACAAGTTACTTCAGGTAAATAATCTATATTCCATATTTCATCCATGGCAGTTGTCTTTAGAGGATGTAGGACATATCGTACATCAATTTAGGTTGACTAAACCAGAAGGTGAACGCATTATGGGTTTCTCAATGTTTGGGGAAAACACTACCAGTGTGTGGACGTGTCACGTCTATAAACAATCCACACATGCATAGCTCCCGGGTACTCCCGGATCTACCAGGTAAACGATGCATTTGGTGAAAAGAAAAAGGGCCAATTTTCTGCCCTACAAAGTTATTAAAACCCCAAAGACGCTTTGCTGTGAAGCAGACGTCAACTACCATCAGGTTCTCCGAATTAAAAAGAAAAAATAAAAAAAACAGAGGAACACAACATGGAATGAAAGCCCAGTAGTCTGTAGATCCCAGCACCTCTAACTCCGCCCGACGTGAACATCAACACAAGATCAAGTCCACTTACAATGGGTAGGTCATCGTGGCTGGACGGGAGCGTGTGGACTGAGAAACACAGTCCTGGGCTGGTGTTGGGGGTGTGTGAGGCTCGCTGACCTCGACCCCACCTCCCTACCACCTCAACACCGGTCACGTGACCCCCCCACCCCACCCCCCTCCCCCACCATTACACACCCTCCACCAATTGCCTCGTTCACCGGTTAAATTACGTTCGCTTCTGCACATGACATTGTAGGACTTAATATATATACTTTATATATTTATATTGTAAGAACTTTACTCGAATGGTTTTTTTATCTGCTTTGTATTATTGCGTAAAGTGTTCAACCTGAGCAGTTAATGTTCACACACACACACACACACACACACACACACACACACACACACACACACACACACACACACACACACACACACACACACACACACACACACACACACACACACACACACACACACACACACACACACACACACACACACACACACACACACACACACACACACACACACACACACACACACACACACACACACACTCTAGTAGCCATACGCTCCCCCCCCTCCAAACACCCTCGCTCACCGAGGGACAAACCCGGGGAGGATTGACTGGGAACCAATCCATTACTGTTCACCGTCTCTTCACCCGCCAACAATTGGAGACCTGGAAGTAAACCAATTGGGGGGATCGTGTGCCAGGGGGAATACTTTCCCTTCCCATGAGCTACGGGGTGTAGGGGGGGGGGGCCTCTCAGCCTGCTAACATTAGTTTGAAGGCGTGTAATCTTGCCCCCACCTTCCCCTGGAGGTGAGTTGAGGCCCAGTGCCTCTCCACCTACCCCTGAGTGAGGCCACGGCCCCAGGGGTGAGGCCACGGCCCCAGGGGTGAGGCCCACGGCCCCAGGGGTGAGGCCACGGCCCCAGGGGTGAGGCCACGGCCCCAGGGGTGAGGCCCACGGCCCCAGGGGTGAGGCCACGGCCCCTGGGGTGAGGCCACGGCCCCAGGGGTGAGGCCCACGGCCCCAGGGGTGAGGCCACGGCCCCAGGGGTGAGGCCACGGCCCCAGGGGTGAGGCCACGGCCCCAGGGGTGAGGCCCACGGCCCCAGGGGTGAGGCCACGGCCCCAGGGGTGAGGCCACGGCCCCAGGGGTGAGGCCACGGCCCCAGGGGTGAGGCCACGGCCCCTGGGGTGAGGCCACGGCCCCAGGGGTGAGGCCCACGGCCCCAAGGGTGAGGCCACGGCCCCAGGGGTGAGGCCACGGCCCCAGGGGTGAGGCCACGGCCCCAGGGGTGAGGCCCACGGCCCCAGGGGTGAGGCCCAAGGACACCACAACACATCACCTGATCGTCTTCAAGACGCGTGCCAGAAACTGAGACGACCAGCTCAGGTGACCGGCTGGGAGAGGTGAGGACTCACCTAGATGGACTCACCTAGATGGACTCACCTAGATGGACTCACCTAGATAGACTCACCTAGATGGACTCACCTAGATGTTCTCACCTAGATGGACTCACCCAGATGGACTCACCTAGATGTTCTCACCTAGATGTTCTCACCTAGATGGACTCACCCAGATGTATTCACCTGGATGTTCTCACCTAGATGGACTCACCGCGCTTTTTGATAGGTCGTGTTCTTCACGTTAAGGTGACCACCGTTACAGATACAAGCTCTCAACAAACGTACAGGCTCACAAATATCTACATTTTCGATGCATCGGACTCGAAAGGTTTGGTGGGTTGCTTGGGTTCGTACATCTCTTGGAAGAACGTTTGGAAGGGGTCAGGATAAGGATTTGGGATGGGACGGAGGGAAGGAATGATGCCCAACCACTTGGACGGTCACGGGGGATTGAACGCCGACCTGCATGAAGCGAGACCGTCTCTCTACCGTCCAGTCCAAGTAGTTGGACCAAAAGGAGTTAAAACTTTTTTAATTCTGTATGTCACATTTCCGAGAGGATAGTGGATAGTTCCCACAGCAGGTGTAAACAGTATACAGGTCCAGGATGTAAACAGTATACAGGTCCAGGATGTAAACAGTATACAGGTCCAGGATGTAAACAGTATACAGGTCCAGGATGTAAACAGTATACAGGTCCAGGATGTAAACAGTATACAGGTCCAGGATGTAAACAGTATACAGGTCCAGGATGTAAACAGTATACAGGTCCAGGATGTAAACAGTATACAGGTCCAGGATGTAAACAGTATACAGGTCCAGGATGTAAACAGTATACAGGTCCAGGATGTAAACAGTATACAGGTCCAGGATGCAAACAGTATACAGGTCCAGGATGTAAACAGTATACAGGTCCATGATGTAAACAGTATACAGCTCCAGGATGTAAACAGTATACAGGTCCAGGATGTAAACAGTATACAGGTCCAGGATGTAAACAGCATACAGGTCCAGGATGTAAACAGTATACAGCTCCAGGATGTAAACAGCATACAGGTCCAGGATGTAAACAGTATACAGCTCCAGGATGTAAACAGCATACAGGTCCAGGATGTAAACAGCATACAGCTCCAGGATGTATACAGCATACAGCTCCAGGATGTAAACAGCATACAGCTCCAGGATGTAAACAGCATACAGGTCCAGGATGTAAACAGTATACAGGTCCAGGATGTAAACAGTACACAGGTCAAGGATGTAAACCATTCTGAAGTTAACGAGCCAGTCACATCTACGACCTCAGGAGGGTCATGGAGCAATAATCTTAAGTAAACATTAGATGCTCTAATGTCAGCTCCAGGAGGAACTCCTAAGAGTTCTAACTCTTCATTACCCGAGTGGTGGCCATGACTTTCGAAGCCGATTTAATTAGCGGGACCTCACTGAATGTCTGAACATCTCCGCCTACCTCTGTTCCTCACAAATAAACGGGTTACCCTTCAAAAATCTAAAATGGAAGTTTTCTTTCAAGTGAAAGAAAACGTATAATTGAGCGTTTCAACTGGAATGGGAGACTTAATTTGTCTCCTTTCATTTACATAATTCGTAAATTACATATGACAATTCATAGTAATTCATTGTGTCGCGGGACAGGAAGCCAGAGTGTATTCATACACGTCAGGCTTATATGAGACCCCCCCCCCAGGTCGAATTACTGACCCTGCCCAGGATTCAACCCCACAATAAGCTTACTAACTCCTGAGTACCTACTTACTGCTAGGTGAACAGACCCATTAGGTGAAAGGATATGTGCTCAACCATTTCTGTCCAAGCTAGGATCCCCGATTGTAGGATCGAGAACGAGAAGCCAAATGTACTACGAGCCCGTATCAAATTTAACCTGAAACAAAAGTGATATGAGGGCGTGTGAGGGGTGAGGGCGTGTGAGGGGTGAGGGCGTGTGAGGGGTGAGGACGTGTGAGGGGTGAGGGCGTGTGAGGGGTGAGGATGACAGGGGTGAGGCTGTGAGGGGTGAGTCTTCAGGTCTCACGACGACCCCCCCCCCCCACATGTCTACACCATGACTCCTTGTGAGGCTTCTGCTGCCTCACAACACCCCCCCCCTCCCCTCCCCCAGGGCTGTGCCTCACACCCATACGACTGCTGCCTCAACAACTGCCACAGTTGGGTTCTCATAAACTCTCTGGTGGTGTTTCCAGCTACAGTGATACAGTGGACTTATTACCACCACGTCTTGGGATAAATATAATGCTGTTATACTTAGTAGCCAGAACGCAGTACTCGGCCTACTATGCAAGACCCGATTTGCCTAGTAAGCCAAGTTTCCTGAATTTATGTATTTTTCGATTTTTTCTTATGAAATGATAAAGCTATCCATTTCATTATGTATGAGTTAAGTTTTTTTTATATTTGAGTTAAAACTAATGTAGATATGTGACCGAACCTAACCAACCCTTCCTAACCTAAACTAAACTAACATAACTAAGTCAATAATTTATGTTCTTAATATAATATAATAATAATATTTCAAATAAACCAATTAGAAACAATATTTTGAAGGCGATGAGTCACAATAACGTGGCTGAAGTATGTTGACCAGACCACACACTAGAAGTTGAAGGGACGACGACGTTTCGACTTGAGAATGGTCCAGGACGGACCGAAACGTCGTCGTCCCTTCAACTTCTAGTGTGTGGTCTGGTCAACATCAAAAATATTTTGAAAATAAAGAAAATCGCTCGGCCTATTAGGCAAATTGGCCCTTGCATAGTAGGCCGAGAAGCGCTTTCTGGCTACTATTGTTGTTGTTGTTTAAGATTCGCTACTTGAAACAAAAAGTTTCAAGTAGCACGGGCTATGGTGAGCCCGTCTCTGGCTACTAGGTACGACAATGCCAACCAACATTTTATAACTACCAATCATGCTCTACCAACTTATCAAGTGGTCATTAATACTCTATTAATTATCTTATGGACAGTAACGATCTGTATTATTCAGGAACAGGTAATATGGCCGTGAGACTTCCCCCATAGTGACGAATTATGTTCTGCTAGATTCACTTCAATATGGAATTGATTACTAAATTATGTAGTGGCCGATCATCTGTTAATTGTATTATTTATAGTCCTCTAGGTCTAACAGAACCCGAAGCTAGGCTTTATCTTTTTTAATAGGATAGGCTATGTTAAGCCTTAGTTCTAAACTATACTTTTCATCATGTAAGTACAGGTTATTGACGGAGGTGGTTGTGGCGTGGTTGTGTTCTGGTGCTCACTCGACGTTACATTTGCTTGTATACTTGAGATCATGGAGGCGTTTTATTTACTAAATCAAGACGTTCTTTACTTCACTTAAAGACTTTACTGTAAAACTGTATCGTTGTAGAGAGTTGCCTTAGTAACTGTTGTTTAATATTTCGTAACATTTTAAACAGATTTCGTTGTCTATGATAACGTATCAACCCTGGCATTAAATACTGATGTCGGAGACAGGAAGCTTAGCTCTGTGCTTAGGGTTATCGAGATCTCCCCCTAAGCCAGCTACTGACCTCCCCCGGGATGCCACCCACAACAACTAGGTGAACAGATACATTAGGTGAAAGGAAGCATCCCCATATCCTTTCTATTGAACGCGGGATCCTTGATTGTGAGTGCTCTAAGACCCTTTCACATTCAGGAATTCAAATTGTCACGCGCTCACCTCCGTCCCGCTGCGGCTTACAAGCGCGGGAGACGACCCCAGCTGGTGACGCCTGGCGCGTCACGGAGTGAAGGTGGTCAGTTAGACCAGAGGTCATGGCAGGTGACAGCCAGGGGTAGATGATATGTGAGAGGAAGGTGAGTGAGGGAAGGTGAGTGGGGGGAAGGTGAGTGGGGGAAGGTGAGAGTAAATGAGTCCTAAGAGGGAGGGGGGAGGGGGGGGGGATCAAGTGACTGCGGGGGAGGTAGAGAGTGAGGGGGCAGACGTTGATAATCTCCTCCCCACCTTCTTACTCTGCCCTCAGGTTCTTCTCTTACCATTCGTCGGAGCGCGAGTCAGTGACGGACGTTGGGGCGTTAGAGAGAGACAGTGGGCGGAGGGTGACAGCGGCCGCAATCATCACGCCCATCTCCCCCACTGACACGTCCACACACGCCCACATATACCCAGTAACACGCCCGCGCACGCCCCCGGCCCCTGTCAATAAGCTTTCCATGCACTATTAACGGATAAAAAAAATCTTCCCGATTGTTACAGGAGACGCCGGTGTTTCCGGCATCAATTATACGGACGTCTCGCGGCCGGTAGTGTTTCAGTGCAGCGAGTGTGAGTGAAAGTATTGCTGGAACTGACTCCGCGTCCGAGGCTTCCACTTACAGTCAGCGCTCACTCCCGGGGTCACCTTCTTCAAAGTCTTCTGCTGATTGAAGGGTAATGAGGCCAGTTGCGCATGGCAGGTACCCAACAGCTTCGATTCCAGACTTGTCCGTCTGTACCAGTTCCTAAGAATTTGTTGTCGAACTGATCAGTTGGGAACTAAAATATAAGATTGGTGGAAGGCACTGCCATTATCCAGCACTGAGGGAACCCGTAGTGTGTGTGTGTCAGTGCGTGGGAGGTTGCGTCGGCCTCAAGTGCCTCTTGTGGTAGACATGGAGGAGAAGAACCAGCTGCTGGGAATGGAGAACCCGAGGTTCGACTCCCTGGCGCTACGGCGGAACTCCTCTTCCCCCAACAACAGTGGGAGTTCCGGCAGCAAGGGCCCGCCCCGCCAAAACGACCAGGTGAGAATCCACCCACCTACAGTGCCCACCCACCTAAAGTAACCACCCACCTACAGCGCCCACCCATTTACAGTGCCCTCTAGCTCCCCCTCATCTTCCTTGCAATATTGGTTCCCCGTCAGCTGCGGGAGGAGAGTCTTCAGTAATCCCGTCTATACTCAACCTCACCTCTTAGATAATACATAGCATTTGAACATCCAAATCCCCAGCGGACAAAATATAATGTAGTCAAAATCACAGTGGCTCGCAAGCCTTCATGCTGTCTAGAAATCCGAATGTTAAATATATCATTGTCAGCACCAGCATCCGACCGGTTGGTGATCTTAATCTTGCAATTGAATTGAATTTCGGGTAAGTTGCCCGAGATGCCTTACATGTATGGTAGAAGGAAAGCACACAAGGAAGGCCGCATTCTTACACCCATTGTTTCTTGCTTAAAAGCTCCACAAAAGAACTTAGCCTAGCGAACAATAGGCTAGCGAACACAATAAGAAGACACGAAGGTCTTCGTACTATTTCTCCGAGGCAAATATTATTTATTCTCAACATTTTAGTGAGAAAATTATGAACAAAGGCCCCACTGATAAAACTAAATTGGTTAGTTTTGATGTCACTGCGGCTTTCACTAATGGAACTTTACCTAAAATATTAGATTTAAGTGCACATAACGGGGGGTGAGAATAGCTTGAGCTGCCTCATCCCTTTGTGTGAATTTATAACTTAATAAACTTATTTATATTTGAATTCTAAGAGCACAAAAGTCGGTGCTTTTACTCCAGCTCCCCAGCGGTTTATTCTTAGAGTTTATTGGTTTACTGTGTAGAAGCCTCATGTTGAGTTTATTGATTTACTGTGTAGAAGCCTCATGTTGAGTTTATTGATTTACTGTGTAGAAGCCTCATGTTTTAGTTTTGATGGGGTGGTTCTCACGGAAAGGTTTGGGGTGGCTATGTCTTCTTCCCGTTCTCTTATTCTTGAACATTTATGGAGTTTTTTGAAACACAATCAGTACCTAGAGTAACACTTGGTGAACAAGGTCCCAGAGGAGCTTGGTTCAGATATGTTCAGTTATGTTGATGATGTTCATTATAGTTTAGGAAGACTTCGAATATCTAGATAGATGCTCAGAGGGTCTTAATAGCTCAGAGCGTTCTATAAAGTTTACTATGGAAAATAAAGTCAATAAGGAACTCCCTTTTTTGGATTACAATGTAGTTAGAAGTAACGATCAATTTTCATTCAGTACATTTCCGAAAAAAGAGACATACGAACTCGCATTTTAATTTTTTCTCACGTCATTCTAATTCAGTTAAGCAGAGGGTGCTCACCAGTCTTTATCGAAGAGCTCAGGGAATTTGTGACTCGTCTTACCTATAGGAACAGAACATCAAAATTTATAAAAAGAGTTTTAGGATTTATGTTATCCCTTTTTTGGTTCATTGATAAAGCGCACAGCCAAGCTAAAGACAAACTTTGCATTACAAAGTAAAGATGCCTCTGGAATCATGAGACGAAGAAAGTTATGAAAATACCTAATAACCCTTTATTAATAAATTTACCCATAATGCTATTCATCTGAGGCAAAACAAAAATTTCAATTACCTCAATGCGATTAAGGAAAGGTTTCCAGGAATAAAGTAGGTAGATGGTAGCACTCAAGGAGGCGATTATATATTACCTTGTAGAGAGTGCGACAAAGTCTATGAGAGTTAATTAAGGTAGAAACTTGAGATCAGACTTGAACAACCTGAAAAAAGCACGCAGAATCATGGCTGGTAATAGTGCTGAAGGAAACCATAACTGGGAAAAGGATCACAATATTGATTTTAAGAAATGTGAAATAATCCATAAACATAATAATATTATAACTAGAAGGGAAGTAGAAGATGTTTTAGTCAATACTTTAAATCCTTTCATTGGCAACAAAAAACTTGACTTCCGAGGATAGTTTTACAAGGACAATAATCGTGAGTACATTAAAATGAGAGATGAACAGATGGAAAAGTCCAATAGAGCCAATAGCCGCTCTCCTTAATATATATAGAGGAGTTTAAGTTCAAGTATGTTTATTGAGACAAGAAAGAAATACATCTCATAGGGATAGGGTAGCTTAGGCTATTTCTGCCCCCCTATATAGAGGAGTTACGATGAACAGCATCCGAACGCATTCTCATTACGTACGCGTCCGGACGCATTAACAACACCTCCAGTTCTCAGAATCCCGGAACGACAGACTGGACAACTGATCTAAATTCCCTTAATTCCTTACAAACCCCCCCCCCCCCCGAGGAACATGGCATGATATGGTAGAATATAATTTAGATTTTAGATTTAGATTTTTTACTCAGGTAAAGGTACATACATTGAAGATGAGTTACAAACATAATGTTGGATTTAAAGATAGAGGTAGTACACACAATACCTAAAGCCACCAGTACGCTCAGCGTTTCGGGCACGTGTCCTTATACAAGTGTTCGGTCACGTCAAGAAGGATAATCTTGAGGACAGGATCCTGGATAGGAACCGAATTAGTCGTTAAGATGAAAGTCTTGTCCCAACCAATACACAGAGGGTGACAACGGGCTCAGGAGAGTGTGAAAGACTTGGTGTAGTTCAAATATTTTACTAAACTTCAGGAATGTGTGCGTGTGTTATCCAATGTTATTATATGTGAGTGAAGACATGTCCATAACTTGACACGCACTATTCATATTGACGTGAGTGGTGAGTGAGAAGTTAGTGAGGGATGGGCAAATGTTGAGCGAGAGGTGAGTAAGAGTGGAGTGTGTGGCGAGTATGAGTTAAGTGTAGGGTGAGAGGTGAAGAAGAGATTAGTATGAGGTGAGAGGTGAGTCCTCTGTGAGGACTCACCTCACAGAGGACGATGTTGAGTAAGAAGTGAGTGAAAGGTAAGAGGTGAGTATAAGAAGTGAGTAAGAGGTGAATGAGAAGATACTCCAGGAAGTCATATAAGAGTGAAGCTCTCAGTTGCTTCCTCAGAGATGGTTGAGAGTAGTTACAGGATGAGAACTAAGCAGGTGGCGTCCCGTCCTCCCGACACTCTTGTCATACAACTCAACCTACCCCGCGGTGTTGGCCTCCACCGCCTTTTCACTTGACTTGTTCCAACCTTATTTTTCCCCCACAACTCTGCTTGCAAAACAGAACTTTTGTATGTGATTGTGGCACCTGGGTTTCCATTCTTGATGTTGCAGGATTAAAAAAAGACAAAAAATCCGCCTCGACAGTTTTATCGATTCACGTTACTATTTTGTATGCAGTGATCATGTTGCCTCTCTGCCTCCTGTTTTGTAGTCTTGGCATTCTTATAGCCTCCCGCCTCTCCTTGTAGCTCTTGACCTTCACTTAGTAGCGTGTCGTTGTGACATTTCCTCTTGGTTTACGGGCGTCACGTTAGCCTCGCGTGTTGCCTCAACAGTTTCATTTAAAACATCTCTATGTCCATATATTAAAAATGCGGCTCTGAAATTGGGTAGCGTGGCGGAGGCTCCTCTCTCACACTGCCTTTCATGTGGTCCTCTGGCCACAGCTTACTATCCAGAACCATTTTATATATAAATTGTAAGTTCAGTGCTCCTCCGCACTCCACCACGTGACGTTTGTTTACGTTTAGTTCCATCTGCCACGTGTTGCTGCGCTCACTTGTTTTGTCTGGGTCATTTTGGCGGGAAACACGCCCCTGACTCTCCCGCGCAATATGTCATCGTCTGCAAACATATTCATGTAACTGTGTTGCATGAGGGATCTGGTAGGTCGGTGGTCATGAGGGATCTGGTAGGTCGGTGGTCATGAGGGATCTGGTAGGTCGGTGGTCATGAGGGATCTGGTAGGTCGGTGGTCATGAGGGATCTGGTAGGTCGGTGGAATAGATGTCTTTGATGAGGTGTCATGCTGCACCGGGTCACTCACTCTCCCCTTCTCTCATCTCTCTTTTATTATTCTCCCCTTTTTTCCCTTTCCTCTATCTCTCCCCTCTCTCCCACCTTCCCCACCCTCTGCCCCAATCTTCCCTCTCTCACCTCTCCCCTTTCTCTTCCCCTCTCCACTTTTCTCTCCCTATCTATCCTTCCCTTTCACCAAAAATCTCCTCTATCTCTCATTCTTTTCTCCCTTATCCTCCCTCCCCCCCCCCTCTTCCCTCTTTTCTCTCTATCCGCTCTCAACACCCTCATCCACTGTCCCTCTCTTCCCCACTCTCCTCTTTTCCTCTATTCCTCCTTCTCTCCTATGACCCACTCTCTCTGCCGGCCAGTGACGTGAGGTCTAATTCCAGTCGCTTTTCCTCGTAACTCATACCTCTCAGTTCTGGTGGCATACCTCTGAACTTTATCTTTGCCTCCTGTTTGAATAGGTGAGGACTCCACGTTGGAGCCGCATACTCCAGGACTGGTCTGACATACGTGTGTGTGTGGTGGGTTGCGACGCTGGCGGCCCGTCCAGTGGCTGGACCGCAAGAGAACACGACACTATCGGATCCCTCGCGGCGAGCAGCGAAGAATCCGGTGTAGAGAGGAATATGAAGATCAACTTTCTACCTTGTGGTTGGCAGGTCTGGGAGATGTTCCACGGCATATATCACCTGTGTTGAGGGCTGACCTGACCCTAAGGTGAGGGTTGACCTGATCCTAAGGCGAGGGCTGACCTGACCCTAAGGCGAGGGTTGACCTGACCTTAAGGCGAGGGTTGACCTGACCCTAAGGTGAGGGTTGACCTGACCCTAAGGTGAGGACAGACCTGACCCTAAGGTGAGGGCTGACCTGACCCTAAGGCGAGGGCTGACCTGACCCTAAGGTGAGGGTTGACCTGACCCTAAGGTGAGGGTTGACCTGACCCTAAGGCAAGGGCTGACCTGACCCTAAGGCAAGGGCTGACCTGACCCTAAGGTGAGGGTTGACCTGACCCTAAGGTGAGGACAGACCTGACCCTAAGGTGAGGGCTGACCTGACCCTAAGGCGAGGGTTGACCTGACCCTAAGTTGA